GGGAAGTGATTGAAGTCAGGATTTGGTGATGAGGATCAGAGTGATTAGACGTAGACATTCTCACAAGAATCCTTGCAGCTTGAGAGAATAGGTCACCAACTATCAGAGCAATAAATGCATCTCCACGGCCAGAAGCTCAGAACCCACTATCAAGAGCGGCGGCCGAGATTCACCGGGATTTATGGGGTCACACCACCATACTTCATGATCCCAAATGTCGATTGGACTACCCACTTGCTCTAATCAGGCTCCACCATGCATATTTTCAGCCTCGATTACTCCTCCAGGAACTCTTCCTATAAATACAAGGCTCAAGCTACATTCAAAGGGTTCAAACACCAAACCAAAGCCTCCCACGGAGCAACTTATTTTTTCCTGTAATGCACTTTCAATATCTTTACTTGCTTTCCTAGGAGTAGTGTTAGACTGTAAGGAAAATTCATTCATCAATATATCATACGACCCTTGATTTTCAAGGCGCCGGAGCACCATCCCTGTTTTCGTTCACTCACCCCATATATCATACGACCGTCGCTCCCTGAGCAACGCGCCGGAGCATCGCCCAAAACCCACCACCAACACCATCACTCAACGGCCTTGTAGTTCAGGCCGTGAACCTAACAGCCGAGACTAGTTCCTCTCTCGGCTACAATCGTTTGATTAGAAGACGAGTTCAAACAGGCGCACCACTTATCCATTCTACACTCATCAACATCTCGACGCACGGTAGATCGTGCTGGCACGCTCGCGCATAACTTCACCGCACCCAAAAGCAGGAAACCGCGTGTCAACGCATATCCCCTCGGCCCGGAACTCCAGGCCGTGAGATTTGCGCGGCAGACACTTTTGGCACGCCCAGTGGGACACTTGTCAAAAACTTATGGTGGAAACTTGGGCACAAGCAAAGCTAAAAAACAAAGCAGTCGAAATGACTTCTGAGACTCCTGAGTCCACCTCACCAATCACAATTACCGAGACCGAACATACGGTCGGGATCTCGGCTAGCGTTCCAGTAACGATGGATCGTACGGCCGAGTCCATGCAGGAACAGGCAGTAGTGGAGGAGCTGATGTCCAAGCAGGCCTACAAGATAGAAACATCCTTCATGGCCGCAATGGACAGGTTCTCCTCAGAACTACGAACGCTTTTTCAGGAGAGGATGCCGATAGCATCGCCCGCGACACCTCCCAGAGCCGGACAGAGAAGCCAAAAGCATGAAAGGGTCGAGCCTTGCGGCGAAAGCAGTAGCTTCGGCGCCTCTGGCCGCACCGAAGCATCAGGTTTCGGCCAGCGTTCTCTGCCGCAGACCAATAGCTGGGGGCAGTCCCAGCCCACATGGGCGAATCCTGGACCAACCCATCCGGCGAAGACAGCATGCGGCCCACTACACGCCTTAGCCAAAGCGTTAAGGTAGGGTAGCCCTACATTGTCTACGATCCAGAATCTCGGCCCAACCCATACTTTGGCCGACCAGGCACAGTCCGGCCAGAGCAACGTGACCAAAGCGTTACCACAACAATGCGATCAGAAAGGCTTGGCCGCCGCGCTACCAGTACAAATGTACGACAACGCAGACCTATCTAGGTTCCCAGTATGATGCCATCCAGCAGAACCAGGTGGTTATGCCTCGATGGCCGGTGGACCAATCCTGCCTCGGTCAAACCCACGAGGTCTCTCAAAAGCTACCCGGCTCGGTCACAATGGCCGAGCCCGTCACTCAAACGGCCCGGCAGGAATGGCCGCGAAACGATGCACACCGAAGCAGGCCGTGTCAGGGGTTTCAGTTCGAAGGAATCCGGCCCATTTTGAAAGACGTTTTAACACAGGGGGAGCTGGGGGCACCAGGTTACCCAAGGCCGTGCCTATCAAGGGAACCTAGCGATGAACAAAAGAGAAAATATATATGTAGATAAAATAAAATGTATGTTTGTGGTTGTTTATTACATCCCGAAAAGAGAAAAAAAGGAAAAAGTAGTTAAAACAGCCGCTCATCGCCCGCCTAGACCCCTTCACTGAACATCCCCCAGATCAGGCAGGTGATCCTTCTCCAAGCAATGTCCACGCCGTCGATGTCTGCCTGCCACCTCGCTCGGATCAGCTTCCGCTCAGCCAGGGCCTTTTTCGTCTCGATTGCTGCCCTGAGGATTTGCCTGGCCGAGGACTACAGCTCATTCCCGGTCGCGATCGCGCCATCTCGACGTTGGAGTATAAGATCTCGGCGAGCCTGGAGCTCGGCAATTTGGGCCTCAACCTGCGCAAGCTCTTCATTCTCTCGTTGGACGACGAGATCATTCTCCTTCAATCGGGCCATTGCAGGTTGGACTTGTTCTTTGATCACATCCAAATCCTGCTCGAGCGAGCTCCCTTCGGCCATCCTTGCAACGGCTTCAGCATACCGGCCGATCATTTCCTCTCCTTCGGCCAAACGGGCTTGCAATTCATCCAGCTGAGCCGAGTTTAGCAGACCAAGCGCCATGGCCGTATCCAAGCAGGACCTAAACTCCATAATCGCCCCAGCAGCGGTCATTTGATGGACCCCAAGGAGTAGGAACTCTCGGAGCCGTTCAACAACGGTCTTGGAATCCTCGTCCAGGGGAGCCGAGGCCGAGCTACCTCCTTCCCCATGAAGGCTGGCGTATAGCTCCTCGAGATCATCAGAGGAGGTGGCCTCCTAGACATAAGAAAGAGTTTGGGTGAGAAACAATTAGCTAGGACATAAAGGAATAACAAAAAGAGAAGGCTGAATACTCACGGCAAGCGAAAGCTCAGTCATAATCACCGAAGTAGTCCGCAGGAGACTCGACGCAATCACGACCGCGGCCCCAGTTACTACCGGCTCGGTCACAACCGTCGAGTCCTGAAACAATGGCGCAGGGGGCATGGTCGCGGCAACCATGGCCAGCTGCGGCGACGATTGGGGAGGCTAGAGACAAAAATTCGGTCAGAAGTATAGTGCGGTTCTAAAGAGAGAACGATAAAGCCAAGTATAGGGAAAGCAGACTCTTACCGAGCGGAAGGCGATGCCGCTTGGGCATGGCCATGACGCTAATAAACTATTAAAGCGGGAGGTTCGTTTCCTTCAAGTTTTCGGGCAACGTGGCCGGAGGAAGAAGGATTACTCGCGGATAACGCTCGGGAATTCAGAAAATCCGAAAAAGTCGAGACTTGACGTCTACAACTCGACGCAAGTTCAAAAGAAAATGGCGCCGAGAACCTACGACAAGAAAGTCAAGAAGAAGAAAAGAGGAAGGTAGGCGGACGGGCTAAACGAAAGGCCCGGCCGTCATATAGTAAAGGAAAGAATACATTTCGTTTTTCAGAAAAGAAGGCCCTTGCCTTACATTTAGTTAAAAGGGGCATTACTTACAAAAACAGAACAGCCAGTCACGGCCGAAATAACATATACATATATCTGTCTGTGGTCGTAAACAAAGGAGAAAATATATGTGTAAATAAAATAAAATGTATGTGGTTATTTATTACATCCCAAAAGAAAAAAAGGAAGAAATAGTTAAAACAACCGATCATCGCCTGCCTAGACCCCTTCACTAAACATCCCCCAGATCAGGCAGGTGATCCTTTTCCAAGCGATGTCCCCGCCATCAATGTCCGCCTGCCACCTCGCTCGGATCAGCTTCCGCTCGGCCAGGGCCTTCTTCGTCTCGGTCGCGGCCTTGAGGATTCGCTTGGCCGAAGATTTCAGCTCGTTCCCGGTTGCGACCGCGCCGTCTCGGCGCTGGAGTATGAGATCTCGGCGTGCCTGGAGTTCGGCAATCTGGGCCCCAACCTGCGCAACCTCTTCATTCTCTCGTTGGACAACGAGGTCATTCTCTTTCAATCGGGCCATTGCAGGTTGAACTTGTTCTTTGATCACCTCCAGATCCTGCTCAAGAGAGCTCCCTTCGACCATCCTCGTGACGGCTTCAGCATACCGGTCGATCATTTCCTCGCCTTCAGCTAGGCGGGCTTGCAGTTCATCCAGCTGAG